GGGGGGGTGAGGGATGGGGGGGGTCACCTACCGGGAGTCATTGTAGACGCGCCAGCCGGCGGGGTCCCGGCAGAAGGCCGTGTAGTGCCCGTAGTGGACGCTGCCCGAGTGGTTGCAGAGGGCGTAGAGGCTGTAGACGGGGCTGCCTGCGGCGGGGGGGCCAGCTCAGCCATGTCCCTGGGGCTCAGCCATGTCCCCAGGGCTCTGGGATGTCCCCAGGGCTCAGGGTGTCCCCCCCTGACCATGTTGTGCCCCCCCCGTGCCCTCCCACCCCGGCATTTCTCACCCACCCGCCTTCTCGCTGGCGAACTCCCGCAGGTTGAGCTGCTGCAGGGGGAAGTCCACGAAGACGGAGCACTTCTTGATGGAGTAGCGGGTGGTGGAGAACCGGTTGAGGTCTGGGCGGCGTCAAGGGAAACGTGGCCTCGTGTGGAGGGAAGGGTGGTCCCCCCAGGAACGCCCCCACCCCTCACCATGAGCCCCAGTGGCTCTGGGGGTGTCCCAGGCCTCCCCTCTGGCCCCCCACCCTCCGCTCCCCAAAGGATACGGAGCACCAGGATGCGGGGGAAGCGCTGGATGGTCAACTTCTTGGTGCTCCGCGTCCGCTGCCGGCACTTGTCGCAGACCTGTTGGTGGCACGGTGAGGGTGATGGTGAGAAGGGGCCAGGGGTGCCAAGCCAGGGGTGCCAAACCAGCCCCCCAGCCCCAACCTCTTACCGGGGCGTTCTCCGAGTCCAGCTCCTCCTCCTTGGTGAAGAGGCTGAAGCAGTCGTGGAGCGAGACCTTCCCGCCAGCAAAGCTTTTCTGCAGGGGGAGAGGGTCAGGCAGGGGGTGGGGGGACGGCTGGGGGGACACAGGGGGTATCTGGGGGGGCTCTGCCTCATCCCTACCTTTGGGATGGGCAGGGAGAGATCGCAGAAGACCTCAAAGGTGGTGGAGCGGTAACCACACGCCTGGCACTTGAGGCAGCTCTTCAGTTGCCCCACGAAGAGGTCTAGGGACGAGGGGGACGGTGAGGGCAGGAGGAGGGGGGCACCCCGAGGGGTCTGGGGAGTCTGGGGGGGTCACCCCTGCCCGGCAGTGCTCACCCACGATCTTGCTGTCCTCCCTCTCCAGGTATCGCTTCCACATCTGGTTGGCGCGTTCATCGTCGCTGCGGGGAAAGGTGGGGGGTCGGGGCTGCATCCCTGGGGTTCCCCCCACCCTGCCCACCCCCCCCAAAGACCCCTCTCCCCCTCACCTCAGCGTCTCGGGGTCCTCCAGCACGGGGGTCCGGCGGGCGTCTGAGAGGATGCTGGGGGTCCTGCGGCCCTTGCGGTTGATCTCCACGTGCAGCCGGTCCATGAAGAACTTGAGGAACTCCTGGGCGTCCTGCTGACTGCGGGGAGACGGACCCGTCGCACCCTCTGGGGGCTGGGGGAGAGGCAGGGGGGGTGGCAGTGGGGGGAAAAAGCCTCACCTGTATCCAGTGAAGGAGGGGACATATTTCTGAAAGATGGCCTTGAAGCGCCCGGGGTTGACGGCCTCGGAGGAGTCGGGGTGCCAGAGGGCAGCGATGACGTCGGCGAAGGCTGCGGGGACGGGGGACGGGACGGGTGTCAGCACCAGGGTTTATGTAAGAGCTGGGGGCGGGGGGGGAGGGAATTATCCACTGGGGGCTCTGTCCCACCTTCTGTGAGCTCCTGGGGGGCGCGGGGGCCGGGGGGCTGCTCCTGCTGGAAGTCCCGGCGCAGGCAGTAGTCCCGCAGGGGCTTGGTGCTGCTCAGGCACTGCAGCACGGCGTTCATGAAGCACTGTGGGACAGCAAGGGGGACACGGTGACACCATGAGGGGGGGGACACCGGGCCTCGGCGTGTCCCCCACCATCCCCTCACACCCCTGACCGTACCCAGCTGTGCCACGGGGACCCCCGAGGGGCTGGGGGATCCCTGGGGACACGGCGGTCCCAGGAGGAGGGAACTGCTTCGTTATGGCCGCTGCAGGCCCAGGGGGACCCCGCGTCCCTTCCACACCCCAGGACAGAGGGACAGGAGGGACACGGGGACACGGGGGACGCAGGCACTTACCGTATTGCCCAGGTTCCTGAGGCCGACGTGGCCCGAGCCCAGCAGCAGGGTGTGATGGGTCTGCGGGGACACAAAGGGACAGGAGTCAGAGCCCTCCCTGGGCTTCAAACCCCTCCGGCCGCCCCCCGGCTCCCTACAGACGGACGGACAGACTGACCGAGGGGTGTCCCCACCCCGGAGGCTTCACCTCGCCGCTGACGAGCAGCAGCCCCATGACGGCCGTGTGAACCACCGACTCGGAGATGTCGGCGCCGCGGCCCTGCAGCTCCCGCTTGGTGAGGAGGCTGCGGTGCAGCTTGCGCGGCAGCTCCACCAGCGTGGCTCCCTGCAGCCCCGGCATGGCTCTGGCACCGCTCCGGCACCGCCCGGCCACCGGCACCCCGCTACCGCTCCAGCGTTGCCGGGCTCCCTTCGCCTCTCTAAGCCACAGCTCATTAGCTGATCCGATTTCCCCTGGCTATTCTGGGCCTTGCTGGAGGCTCATCTCAGGGGGATTAATTAGCAGGAGAGCCACCCCGGGGACAGCGGGCACCCGGAGAACGGGGAGCGGAGGCAAACACACCCCCATGGGCCCTGCAACGCACCGCTGGGGTGCGGGAGAGCAGTGCAGGGAGCGGGGTGGCTCGGCGGGGCCGGGGACCCCCAAGTCACCCTCGGGGGACACAGCACAGGGGTCAAGCCGAGTCCCCCGTCCCCCACCGGCGCAGGGATTTCAGGGCAACCTAATCCCCACACGTGGCCCAGGGCGAGTGGAGGACAGGGTCCGGCTGCTCAGTGGGGAGAAGGCCAGCCCCCAGCACCCCCGGAGCCGAGGGGACGCCAGCCTTGAGCAGCGGGGGTCCCCCCAGGAGAAACGGAGTGGGGAGAGGTGAGATCAGCACCCCCTGTCCCGCCCTGGGAAGGGAGCTGCTGCCCCGCGGCGGGGACAAATCCCGGAGCTCTTACAGCTGCCGCCTTCTCCTCGGTCCTGCCGGGTGCCAGGGCTCTGCCCAGGGGGGGGCTGCCGGGCGCCGGGACGTCGGGGCTGTGGGCGTAGGGGGGGTCGGGGACAGTGCGAGTCCTGGGGCAGCCCTCGGGCCGGACGGAGAGCAGCGGGGCGGCCGCCTTCCCGTCCAGCCCCGGGGAGACGTTGACCCTCCGGAGAGAGGAGCTCCTCCTGAGAGCCAGCGAGCCGGCGCTCAGCTGGTGGCCGCAGTCCCTCAGCACCAGCCGGCTCAGCACGGCCGCCACGTCCTCGGCACGGCCACCACCGCCACCGCCCTGGCTCAGGTCCCCGATGCTGATGGATTTGGAGCGGGCCAGGTTGCTGCGCCGGCGTTCGGCCAGCGAGGCCCCGGTAGGCAGGGAGAAGGAGGCACTGCCCGGCACGGCGCCGGCCTGCGGAGAACCGGGCACCCGCACGGCGTGGTCTGCCTTCAGGGGCCCCCGCCGGCACGCCGAGACACGCAGAGCCTCCCCCCGTTTCGAGGCCCGACCCCGCTCCAGCTCCAGCTTTTTGCCGCGGTCGTCCATCGTGCTGGGCCGGGGCGGCAGGAGGCGAAGTTTGGGGGCCGGGGAGAGGCCGTTGGCGGCGGCGGAGGCCAGGGCGGCCGCATGGCGCTCCTGGCTCAGGGCCCGGTGCCCGCTGGGCAGCTTGGCGGCGGCCTTGGGTTGGGAGGTGACGACGGCGTGGTCCCTGGCCCGGCCGACGCGGTGCTCCGAGGCTTGGGGCATGGTGGGGACGGCCGGGAGGGGAGCCCTGTGGGGAGAGGGGTGCTCCCACCGGCACCGCTCACAGCCCCCCACGGCGAGCGGCCGGCCGGAGAGTCCCGTCGGCAGGAGCCCTGTGGAGAGACGCTCCGGGTCACCAGATGGACCCCACAGCCCCCCTTGCCCGGCCGCCATGGCACGGAGAGGGGGGGGAGTGCCATTCCATGCTCCCCGAGTCGGCGGCAGGTGGGTCACGGGGGTGCTCGGGCACCATTGGGAGCTGGTCCCTCCCGCCCGCCTGCTCCTGGTTCTACCGAAACACCGCTCGGAGCAGGCGGGTGGCGAGGCAGCCATCTCCCAGCTCCCGTGCCACAGGGGGTGCAGGCCCTACGCTGAGGGTGGGGGTGCTCAGCAGCCATGGCTGCCCCCAGAGAGCGGCTCCGGGGGGAACTTGGTGCCGCTGGGAGGGCACTCGCCGGCCGGGCAGGGACGGAGGAACGGTGTCCCCGCTGCTGGTGCAGCGCCGGTGGGGGGACAATGGCCACAGGGACCACAGGACGGCCAGACCCCGAGCTGCCAGCAGGAGGGAAGGGCCCCGGGGGGGGGGGGGGGGGGGCAGCCATGGGG